CATAATTAATATATGTATATATATTTATAAAACATAATATTAAATATGTTTATAGAAAAATGAATTTTTTTTTCTAACAGAAAAATATTAATTTTCTTTGAAGATTTTAAACATGAAAGCCTCTCTTATCCCTCCTTCCACCTTCTCCACCACCGTCAATAGTCGGCCCACCCCTGCAATTATCCTTCGCATACTTCAACTTCTTATCTGCGTCATCCACCACCATGCCCAGCACCGACCTCGTTCTGTTCCCTTCAGAACACCCCAATACGTTTTGTTTCATCTCCTCCGGCAGCGACGGCAAGTCGCAATCGAAGAACAGTAGCACCTCCTTCTGGTTCGGAGCCACAGTGTATCTGAAGTCGAGAGTGAGGTTGTCGGAGGGAGAGAGACATCTGGTGGAATTGGAGATTCGGAAGTTAGGATTGAAGACTCGAAGAGAGAGATTGTCGTAGAAAATTTCATCGACTATGTAGAAAGTGGGATGCTGGTGTGTTTGAAACATAAATGATTGTTTGGGTGACCTTTCTTTTTTATTTATGGGGGGGAAAACACGGTACCGCAGAAGCCAGGAAATGCAGCAGTGGCCAGTGAGTGTAGTCGTTCTACTGGGCTTCTGAGCCTCATCTGCTCCTTCTCTCTCTTTTCTCTCACACCTTCTGGTTCGGGCAAAGACGCAACCTGATGATGAAGGGGCGAAGAGACAAGCTGATGATCAAGGGGTGAAGGGCCGAGCTTTGAGCTGAGTGGAGAGAATACTCTGATCGTTCAACGAAGAGAAGGAGTGTTGGCCAGCGAAGAAGAGAAGGAAGAGGGTGTTTTTGGAATGACCATTGCCTCCTGATGAGCCGTTCCAAATTTTTGACCAGAAGCGACAATTATTAGCTTCTGATAAAACCATGGTTTCACCCGGTGAAACCATGGTTTTATCTTAAACCACGGTTTGCAATTTTATGGGGTCTGTTTGGATGACATTTTGGGCAAACCATGGTTTGAGCTTCCAAACCATGGTTTCCAGTGTCATCCAAACAGGGCCAAAGTCTTTCATTTAGGAACAGAGTAGATCCAACAAAATATCAGATCACAAGAGAAAATAATTTATCACAAGACTTGTACTCGCACTAGTGTTAATCCTGGCTAGAGGCTATTTGGATCTCATACTTGCTCATTATAGGAGTAGCATTCACAGTGCTAGGTTTAGATGCTGTAATAGAAGAACCAGAAGCAAAACTAGTATCAGTTTGTGTTGTCTGAACTGATTCTACAGAATAACTTCCATCCATGAAGTGCTGAAAAGGATTCACAGGCTCTGGGATTTCCTCTGAACCCTCCAACATTTTCACCACAACACTCATCATAGGCCGCAGTTCAGGTTTATACTAAACACACCAAAGAGCTATCTTAACCATTCTTTCTGCCATATCCTTATTTTCCTCCTCTATTCCACACACTCTTATCATTTCATTTAGTTCTCCATTATCAAATTTGATCCAAACCCATCTTGGAAACCACTCTTTACTTTCTTCTGCCTGGTTAACATCAAGATTCCTTCTCCTACCTATGATTTCAAATAACAACATTCCAAAGCTGTAAACATCACACTTGTAAGTCACTGGAAATGGCATCCAGAGCTCCAGCGCAGCATAACCAGGAGTCCCTCTACCTCCGGTCATGGTGATATGAGTATTTTCTCTGTTACAAAGCTTGGCCAAACCAAAGTCAGCAACTTTAGGATAGAAGTTGTCGTCCAAGAGGATGTTTTCTGGTTTTATGTCATAGTGGACAATTCTCTGTTGGCATTCTTCATGCAAATAAGAAATTCCTTTGGCTGTTCCAACTGCAATCTCATGAAGTTTTTTAAATTCCAACCTCTTGTTTTCCTTAAATAGAAACTTGTCAAGTGAGCCTTTGCCCATGAACTCATAAACTAGTGCCCTTATATTCCCTTCAATGCAAAATCCATAGAGGCGAAGTAGATTGAAATGATGAACTCTTCCAATTGTGCCTACTTCTGCCATGAACTGCTCCTCCATTCTCTTGTCTGAGCTCCCATTCAAAACCTTCACAGCCACGATGGTTCCATCACTGAAAGTCCCTTTATAGACTGATCCGAAACCACCTGAACCCAACATGTTGGAATAATTGTTAGTTGCAAGCATCAGAACATGTGAGGTGAACCTGATTGGCTTTTCCCTTTCCATTTCATGCAGAAACTTGTACATAGTGTAAGTCAGAAATTCTTGGTGTGCAATAACCTGGGACCGACGAAGGTAACAAGACATGTTGCGCTCCAAAAAATCGCAGTCAGAATTACTGCGATGGGGTAAGAATTATCTCAGTTACAAGTCATAACAAGAAACAACAGGAAAAATTAAATACGGAAAATCACACGGCAAAGAAGCAAATCATAGGTCTAAGTCCTACCCATGAAGCCAACAACAGCAATTCCTACCACAACACCAGAAGCCATATTTGTGAACTAGGAGGCGAAAATTCAAAGTGAAGTTTAAGGAGCCAACGCCATTGAAGTGTGGACGCAAAATATGAAGTACTATAGACTTGAAACAGATAAGAATCTGCCCACCACTATATCCAGGTGCAAGGCAAAGTTTTGCGTAAACGCGTTTGTAGATGAAGCGACTCATTCAACAAAGGGTAGGATTTTGTTTTTTGTTTTGTTTTTATGGAGGCTTTTCTATTTTCTATGAATATGCGAGCATGGAGACTCCTAGACTAATGAGAATATTCTGGCGCCAGGATAAGGCAACAATTATGTGACGGAAATTAAACACCAGTTGTCCAGATGAATCAGTTGAACCAAAAACAAGAAAAAAAGACAAAGTCTTGGTCAAAGAATTGCACTGCACAAGGCATGGGCTAGCCGACGACCATTGGGTTGCTTCATATTTGTGCTTATCAGCTACGAGGATAAGCAATGAAACCGTCACCACACAATTTTTTTTTGGCTTGGACAGACTCGGAATATTTTAATAAATAAAAGTTAATAAAGAATCCTCTCATCATCTCGAACCATACTAATATAAAATAACATGCGTCTATGTATATTTGTGTACATACTATTTTGCACTGGTTGAGAATTGAATTGCTGAGAAGATCCTGCAACTCATGAAGGAGAAGTTAATAAAGAAATTTCTCATTATCTTGTAACTTGACATACTAATACAAAGTGACATACCTCTGTGTAGATTTTTCTATACGGTATATATATTTTGCACCGGTTTAGAATTGCATTGCTCATCAGAAGATTCTGCCACTACTGAAGAAGAAGCATCTGAATCTGCATCGGTTCCCTTTGGTGTAAAACTTGGTTTAGCAGACGCCCAATTCTGAAAGGGAAATGGAGGGGCAGAGATTTCTGTCACCTTCCAACATCTTCACCACATTACTCATAAGAGGTCTATCATTAGTAGGCAAGTACTGAATGTAAGACAGATTTACAATACAAGTAAATAAAACAATAAAGAGATGTGAATCTTCTCATAAAATAATACAGCGGAAGAATCTTTGTGTACCTCTTGCCATTTGTCTTATCTTGAATTATCTCGGGATCTAAGATAGGGGAATGGAGCTGCAAAAGAGAACAACAGTTAGAAGAAAAGAGTTGTTCAAGTCTCTTCTGACTGGAATAGGGCACAGTGATGGCAACTGGATTAGCCATCACCAGTCAGGGAACCTCAAGGGAGCATATAGGTATTTCACTCGCTCACAGAATATTCAGCCGTCAACTCAATTGTTGTGTGTCTCACCATCAGAGAGTTATCAACACATATATAGACTGAAAAGCTTAACCCTACTGGGCTTGGGCCTTGTTTGACTGAAAGGGCCACACTCAGAGTATTTTATTAATTTCCTAATATATATCTAAATAATAATTATAATAAAATATCTAACACTGAACACACCAAAGGGCCACCATTAACATTCTCTCTGCTTTTTCCATGTCTTTCTCGTTTTCACTCCCAAACAGCGACATCATCATTTGAAAATCTTCGTTTGAGCTAATTAATGAACGACGGAGGGGACTCGAAACTAAAAAATCATCTTTATTCTTAAAACTTGAATAAAATGTTGGAAACTCAGAATGAATGAATGAATAATGGCAGAAAACAGCAAGCCAATGGACAGAGGTGTGTGAGATGTAGACATCTTTTTTTTTTCGTACAAAAAAGTTTATGAGATGTTAACATATGACTGATGGATACGTGTTTTTTTTTTTTGGTTGTACAAACCCATAACGTGTTTTGAATGAAGATGGCATGGTTTGGGAAGAATTGGATCAAGCGCTCCAGCTTAGATGGAGTCTGAACACTTGCCTAAAATTTCTGTTTAACAAAAAAGAAAATAAGGAAATTTCATTTCTCATCATCTTTCTCTGCTAGTAATAGCTTACTAGAATAGAAACACTAAACCGAATACTCTTAATAATTTATTTTTTAAAAGCACCCTTATTTATGGAAAATATGGGTGGGAGAAAGAATGAGTGAAAAAAAAAACAGAGAGAATGAATGAAGGAAAAAAAAAAACAGAGAGACATACAACTAATAGGGTAAATTTTAAAGTGTCTTTTATAAAAAAAGAACATACTTTCTTAAAAAAGGATAATGACAAAAAAAAAAGAAACTGAAAATTATTAAATCTCAAATGAGGTTTGATAATAACACTTCATTTGGTGTTGATAATATTGAATTGGCAAATGACAAAAAATTTTTGTTGATATTTTTTATTTGATATTTACAAATTTTCAGCTTCTTTTCTTTGTCATTTTCTGTTTCAAAAAAATGTCTCCGGTAAATAAGAATAGAAAAAATACTATTTTTTCCCATATAAAGTTCCAGTGAGTTAAATATTTAAATTATAAAAGCTTATTAAAGTTAGGACATGCTTTTAAGTCAAAAGAGTGCTTTTAAAGGTAGCTACATTTCACTCAAAATCATATAAATTAAAAAGACAGCGTACCTCAAAATTTCTAACAATTTAAACTGTTTTCTTTTGCAGAAATTAAGATGATGATCTTTGCCGTTCATTCCGATTAAATCTAGCTGTCCGAACAACCCCATTGCCGCGGTAATAACTCCTTTCACCTTCGTTTCTTTTCCTTTTTCGGATAAAAACTCTTTGCACAGTGTTTAGCAAAAGGTACTAGTCTTTCGTAACGTGATGAACCAATATTTGAATCCCTGTTAAAAGAAATATTCACATTTACTGTTTGATGGTGTCTCCAATATAATTATTTTTAGTAACAGGATACCTGTTTCTGCAAGAAAAACATTTTCTGGTCCTGCAGTCTGGGTACGTCCTTTGTTTTTTCATTCTTGTACTATTACACTGTTTCATCGTCGTACGTTTGTCAAGTTCACTGATATCTTTTTGGTAATCGTACATAGTTCCACAAAAACAAGATTTAAATATTCAAATTACATGAAATATATAGGAAAAATTAAAATTAGGTCCCACCTAAGGAAATTAAATATAAGAAAGTCCCTTAAAATCATGAAATTATTTTAAAGTCTTAAAGAACTTTTTTGTAATAAATTTTATTTGTTTAATTACTAAATTACCCTTTTTTTTTAAATTTGTATTGACAACTGAAAGAGCAGTGGTTGACAACTTAGGGTGCAAGGATTGACAACTATCGCAACTGATTTGACAACTTAGGGTGTGATATGCTGAGAAAATGTGTTGTCAAACCAGCTGCGATAGTTATCAATCATTGCACCCTAAGTCGTCAACCCCTGCTCTTTCAGTTGTTAATGCAAACTTTTTTTTTAAAAAAAAAGAAGGGTAATTTGGTAATTAAACAAATAAAATTTATTGCAAAAAGGTCTCTTGGGACTTCAGAATAATTTCATGATTTCAAGAGATCTTTTGTATTTAAGTTTCTTGGGTGGGACGTAATTACAATTCTCCCAAATATATATCTCTCACACTAGAAATAAGAAATAAGATGTGGATCCACAAGATGTATAATGCGGAAGCTAAACTCTAAATTAAAGCATGGGAAGATGTATATGTCATCTAAAGGGAAAATGGTTTTTGCTAATTAAGTTTGGCTGGAATCCATTTGGATCTCACCAAACAAAGGAGGAGCACTCACAATGGAAGATTCAGTTCCTTCAAGAGTAGATAAGCCACCATCAATACTACTATCCACTTGATCTGCCTCATCCATCAAGTGTTGAAATGGGTTTGAAGGGTCTGCAACATCCATGGAGCCTTCCAACATTTTCACCACATCACTCATCTTAGGTCTCAATTCTGGTTTATACTGAACACACCACAGAGCTATTTTTACCATTCTTTCTGCCATCTCTTCGTCTTTATCTTCAATACCACAACCTGTTATCAAATCTCTTAGATTTTCACTCTCAAACTTTTTCCAACCCCTCATAGGAAGCCACTCTTGACTTTCTGGGACGTTCCCCGCGAGGTTTCTTCTTCTTCCTACGATTTCAAACAACAACATTCCAAAACTATAAAGATCGCATTTGTGAGTTACACGGAAAGGCATCCAAAGTTCTGGTGCAGCATAACCCGGCGTCCCTCTAAGACCTGTCATTGTGACATAAGATTTTTCGCTGCTACAAAGCTTAGCTAAACCAAAATCAGAAACTTTAGGATGCAAATTATGGTCCAAGAGGATGTTTTGAGGTTTTATGTCATAGTGGATGATCCTCTCTTGGCATTCTTCATGCAAGTAAGCAATCCCTCTGGCTGTTCCAACCGCAATCTCATGAAGCTTCTCAAATGCCAAGTTCTTATTCTTTTCACTAGCAAACAGATGTTTGTCAAGAGAGCCATTGCTCATGTACTCATAAACTAGAGCTGTCGTATCCTTTTCAACGCAGAATCCAATGAGGCGAACCAGATTCATATGATGAACTCTCCCAATTGTGCCAACTTCAGCCATGAATTGCTCCTCCATTCTCTTGGCAGAAACGCCACCACGTAGAACTTTCACTGCCGCAACAGATCCATCAATAAATGTTCCTTTATAAACTGATCCAAAGCCTCCCGACGCCAACATGGTGGTGTAGTTGTTCGTTGCGCTCATTATGTCATATGATGTGAACTTTGTTGGGCCTTGTCTTTCTAAATCATTCAGAAACTTTTCCATAGTAAATGTCAGAAACTTATCCGCGTCCTCAATACGAGGTAGTAACATGGTAAGTAATGCAAGGCCAATGACCCCGACTACAAGGCAGGCATACACATATACATGAGTGATAATCAGTCACAATTATTGCAATAATAAAACTTCAAAAATTTTAAGCCAGATTTGCTTTGTAGGTTAATCTTATAATTTAGTTTCCATAGAACTCCCTTTTTTTTTTTTTATGACTCATAATATCCTCAAATAACTTTAGACTTAAAACTATTCTCTATTAGGTTAGGAGTGTTAAAGTTAAAGTGTTCCCAACAAGTACACTTTTTAAAATTTAAATTTGTGTTTTCTTCTTTATAGAAAGAGATTACTTACTATCTCAACTAACAACTTATTAGCGTTCCTGTTATTATTTTAACCTTTAAAATGCTGTACGTAAATCTTACCCACGTTGCCGAAAATAATGAGTAGGGTCCGATGTCCACGCAAAGCCATTGCTATCCCCACTATGCACAGAAGGGAGACTGCAATATACGTAGAAATGATTCGGTCAGAATTCTTGCAATCCAAACTTTTCTTTTTATTTAATAATGGATAAAATTTAGATGAAGTTACTTATATTTATTAGGTTAACTTCATAAGTGAATTTACTAATGCATATATATATATGCATTTTAACAACTAACTAATAATACTAAATTAATGTGTGATTAGAAAAATTAACCTAAATTTTTTTGTCCTAAAATATATATTACCATGGAGCATTTAAAATAATTTAGTTAAAAGAAAATAAGGGAGAAAGAAAAGTTAGACTACACTTCGTCCGCATTAAACCAGCACAGTTATATGCGTTTTCCATAAAATAATTATGCAATGCTCATCATCGAGAAAGAATACACAGAAGATCTGAAATCATCAAATTGTTAATTGAGTACCCAGAACTTCTATCAAACATGTCATTAAAATATAAATAAAAGGACAAACCGGTGTTGAGTCTAACAAAAAAAAATAATACTTCACAACGTGACAAATTTAAATTTAAATTAAAAAAAAATGAAGTGGATCACTAATAGTAACAATTGAACCTAAAAAGCTTTTTTTTTTTTTTTTAACCAGGAACGATGAAAAAGCTCTAAATCTTACTCGCGATGAGATTGATAGCGCGACTGCCTTCCCTCCAAACAGATGACATGAATGATCTAGTTGCCTCCAAACAATTGGCATCCCTATCCATTCGAATCTACGGTGTTGTGTTTCTCTCTCAGATTATCGTGCCCTCAATTCTAACATGGAACACATAATAATTAGCGATGGTCAAAATCCAGTCTAGATGGATCGGATCTTAAGCATATATAATTAATCAGTAATCAGAGATTAGAAGAAATAAAAGGACTGTGCTTTGAAGTTTCTGATGAGCTGACGTTGATGGTGATCGGAGAAGAACCGTACCTGAGACTTTTCTGGCAATTAACGAGGGAAAGTCGAACGGAGAAAATGTGATTTGTGGTTTATGAAACTCATACCCAACTAAGAAAATAGTGTGAAGGAGGACTTGCAGATTGAAGGAAGGCGAAGATGATGATCATGAGGGTCGAAGCCTAAAGCCTGTCAACTTCTTGGTCTGTTTTTCTCCACTGGTAGAGTTCCCACCTGTGAAGAGTGAAGACTAGGCATCGCCGACAACGACATACCTCCCTACCAAGAAAGACAAAGTCTTGGTCAAAGACTTTACATTGCACAAAGCATGGGCTGGAACCCAATTTAAAATCGGATGGTTCATATCTGTGCTTATCAATCATGAGGATAAGCAACGATACAGTCACCACACATTTGTTTTCCCTTGCTTGGACAGACTCAGAATATTTTAATATGTAAAAGTCAATAAAGAAGCTTCTCATCATCTTGAGCCATACCAATACAAAACGACATGCGACTGTATAGATTTTTCTACATAGTATTCTGTACTGGTTGAGAACTGAATTGCTGAGAAGATTCTGCAACTCATGAAGTAGAAGTTAATAAAGAAATTTCTCATCATCTTGTAACTTGACATACTAATACAAAGTGACATACGTCTGTGTAGATTTTTCTACACGGTATATATATTTTGCACCGTTTTAGAACTGTATTGGTCATCGGAAGGTTCTGCCACTACTGAAGAAGAAGCATCTGAATGTGCATCGGTTCCCTTTGTGTAAAACTTGGTTTAGCAGACACCAAATTCTGAAAGGGAAATGGCGGGGCAGCGATTTCTATGTCACCTTCCAACATCTTCACCACATTACTCATAAGAGGTCTATCAGTGGGCAAATATTGAACATACCAAAGGGCCACCATTATCATTCTCTTGGCCTTTTCCCTATCTTTCTCCTTTTCAATCCCAAACAGCGAAATCATCATTGGTAGTTCATTATTCTCAAACATATCCCATGTCCATTTTGGAAGCCATTGTTGTGATTCACTGTAGCCACAATCAAAATGCCTTCTTCTCCCTACAATCTCAAAGAGGACAATGCCAAAACTATAAACATCACACTTATGATTCACAGGATAACACTTCCATAATTCTGGTGCAGCATACCCTCTTGTTCCTCTGAACTGAGACATATTCATGTGGCTTCTTTCTCTGCTACAATGTTTTGCAAGACCAAAATCTGCAACTTTTGGTTCCAACTTCTGGCCCAGAAGAATATTCTCTGGTTTAATATCGCAATGGATGATTCTTTGTTGACACTCTTCATGTAAGTAGGCAATTCCTTTTGCTGTTCCAATTGCAATCTCTTGAAGCTTCCCAAACTGGATTTCTGTGTTCAGAGTGCCAAATAATAAGTTGTCGAGAGACCCATTTTGCACAAACTCGCATATAAGAGCTCTCTTTTCACGGTGGAAGCAGAAGCCATAAAGCATAACTACATTTTTTTTCGGCCCCACAATGCGTTTTTGTTGGTATGATCTGGGGAGAATTGGATCAAGCGCTTCAGCTTAGATTGAGTCTGAACACTTACCTAAAATTTCTGTTAGAAAAAAAAGGAAATAAGGAAATTTTGTTTCTCATCATCTTCCTTTTACTAGCAGAGCAGTAATAGCTCATTAGAATAGAAACCCTAAACCTAATAGTTATTATCCACTGCTCTCTCTGTCTCATTTTGTAAAAGATGATTAACCAAATCATGTTGATAAAAAAACTTGGTTAAAATTAGTTAGAAACAATAAATATGTAAAAAAAAAATATATATATATATATAAGTTGTTTTTCAAAAGCACTCTTATTTATGGAAAATGTTGGGGGGACAAAGAATGAGTGAAAAAAATGAGAGAGAATGAGTAAAGAAAAGAGAGAGAGAGAGACATGTAATTAATTGAGGGTGAATTTTATCGTGTCTTTTATTTTTTTTAAAAAACATAGCTTTTCAAAAAAGTGTCTCTTATAAACAAGAATAGAAGGAATACTATTTTTTTCCCCGTATAAAGTTCCAATGAGTTATGTTCCCCAAAAAAAAGAAAAAGTTCCAGTGAGTTAAATACTTCAATTATAAGAGCTTATTAGAGTTAGGATATGCTTTTAAGTTAAAAGAATGCTTTTAAAGGTACCTATATTGCACTCAAAATTTAGCATTAAAAAGAAAAAGGATAAACAAGAGCTCTAAATCTTACAGACGCCCGCAGGTACATCAATGGTGACATTGATGAGAAGAAGTGTAGGAAAGGCAGAGATGAAATATGCAATTTATATGCAAATATGGACACAGATTAGAGATGACGTATCTGGTCTCCGTTCCCCAGCTCCCAACGGAACGCTCTTTTGGACACACTGACTCGACTCAAGATAAATCCAACCAAAATAGAGACATTTACCAACCTTGGTTGACTTTTGACAATACCGCTTCTGAAAAAATATGAATGATGCTATGTTCTGTAAAATTGCGTGGAACTTTCATACGAGCTTTAAAGGAAAATATGAGAGGAATCTAAAGCTGAATGAGCCTTTTTTTTTTTTTTTTTTGGGGGGGGGGATACACGGAAAAGACAAAAGAAACTAGCCAGCAAAGGTCAATGAGCTAGTCAACCAACTTTATTAGGTTTAAGCTGGGGCTTTTTTCTTGGTCTTTAACCGTGCCATGCGTTCATATTTTATGTTAGTTGTGTTTTCAATTGTGTGGTTTAGTGACCGTATAAACTAACTTTATGAAGTTTGTGTGTGTATTTATTTTAACAGGTTGAAAATAAAAACAGAGACGAAGGAACAATCAAACCGAAACGTTCTACTTACCAGTTTTTTCTACCCATATCCGCTTTTTCCCTTTTGTGAGACTTTTTTTGGTTACTCAACAATTGCTCGCACTTCTTTTTCCAGCTACATTGACAATGATCAAAGCTACACAAAGGCAAACACACTAACCAAAACGCTCTACTTACCAGGTTTTTTCTACCGCAAAGTTCTACTTACCAGTTTGCACTCTCGTTACAGACTTCTTGAAAAACCCCAGGATAGACCCATCTAATACGGATTGCCCAGATAGGGACTTCTCCAACTGAACCGGCGGAGGAACGACCTTCTTCGGCGAATCTTACCCACGCTGCAGAAAATAATGAGTAGGGTCCGATGTTCAAGGAAAGCGATTGCTGTCTCCATTCCCCACTACGCGCAGAAGGGAAACTGCAATATCCGTGCTCCGTAGAAATGATTCGGTCAGAATTCTTGCAATCCAAACTTTTCTTTTTATTTGATAATTGATAAAACTTAGATAAAGCTACTTATATGTATTAAATTAACTTCATAAGTGAATTTATTGGTGCATATATATGCATTTTGATAACTAACTAATAATACTAAATTAGTACGTGTGATTGAAAATTTTGACTTGAATTTTTTTTGTCTTAAAATATTTATCACCATCGAATATTTTAAATAATTTTGTTAAACCAGCATACTTCATATGCATTTTCTATGCAAGGCTCATTATCGAGAAAAAATATACAGAAGATCTGAAATCATCAAATTGTTAATTGAGTACCCAGAACATTTATCAACATGTCATTAAAATATAAATGAAAAGACTAATTGGTGCTGAGTCTAACAAAAAAAAAAAAAGAAGATAAATTTAAATTAAAAATGAAGTGGACTAATAGTAAGAACTGAATCTAAAAAGTTCTTCTTCTTTTTTAACCACGAACAATTAAAAGGCTCTAAATCTTAAGCGCGATAATAGTGCGACTGCCTTCCCTCCATAGAGATGGCATGACTGATCTAGTTGCCACCAAACAATTGGCACCCTGTCCATTGAACCTGGGGTGTTGTGTTTCTCACTCGGATTGTCGTGCCGTTAAACCTACCATGGAACAGATAATAATTAGCGATGGTCAAAATCCAGATGGATCGGATTTTAAGCATATATAATTAATCAGTAATCAGAAATTAAAGGAAATAAAAGGACTATGCTTTGAAGTTTTGGTGAGCTGACGTTGATGAGAAGAACCGTACCTGAGACTTTTCTGGGAATTAATGAAGGAAAGTCGATCGGAGAAAATGTGATTTGTGGTTTATGAAACTCAAACCCAAATGAGAAAATAGTGCGAAGATGATGATCAGGAGGTCTTACATTGGTCAGAAGTAACAGTTCCTTTGAAACTGGGGATAGTGAATGAATGTTGTGGGAAAAGTACTAGAAACAGGCGGCACTGACGAAAGTTCAAAGTGGGAAGAAAGCATTCAGAAGAATCTTGGAACATTACATCAAGACATACTGTAGCTGTATTTACTAGGGAAGATGGCATACTGGGGGCCGTTGAAGTAAAAATTGTAACTTGAATACTTGATGACATTATTGTCAAATGTGAGAAAAGCATGAAGGCTTTAAAAATAAAAATAATAGAGGAAAATGCCCTTTTTCATCAATTAGTATATTTGTATTTTATTTTTAATTATAAAAATACCTCTCCCTCATTATTTGTTATTATTACTTTTTTCTCTTATTTACCACACTTTAATAGCAATTGAGCGAACTTCAAAAGTAAATAACAACATATTTTTGTAATAATTTCTGATTTGATATTTTGAAATTTAAAAAGTACTTTTTTTAAAATTTTCCTGTAATAATTTTCAATTGAGCATTTTTATATATTCATATTTTAATTTTAAGAATGTACATATATCAAAAGTTAAATTAGAAAAATGATGCATGCTAAAAGAATGAACATAAAAAATGTTTAATTAAGAAAGTTATGATGCTTTTAGTCTTTAAATATTTCTAGCTTAGTGTATGAGAGACTGAGAGTTCCAGTTGCTAAAGTATCCCTGTCATCTCTTTTTGTTGATAGAGACCAGTCATCTCTCTTCACAAGGACTTGCGAATTCTTTCAAAAGGTCAAAACGACTTGTAGTTTGGGGGCCGAAGCCTAAAACCTGTCAACTTCTTGGTCTGCTGTTCTCCTCTAGTAGAGTTCCCGCCTGTGAAGAGCCTGTGAAGAGCGAAGACCAGGCATTACCTACAACGACATATTTTCCGACCAAGAAAGACAAAGTCTTTGTCAAAGGCGTTACACTGCGCATGGCATGGGCTGGAACCCAGTTTAAAATCGGATGGTCCATAT